AGAGAGAGCAGACAACATGAGGAGAGGGCAGCAGGCCCAGCCGCACAGTTCACACACCACGAGAAAGCATCCACCACCATCTCCTCCCAGCTCATTTCCACAGCCAAAGGGAAATGGCAAAAACCCGCGGCCACCCCACACAACGCACACGGAGCAAGCACCCACCACAACAGCCACACGCGCAAGCGAACCCTCATCCATCCATGACGCGGCACCAAAATTTCCTGCCATCCCGCCCTCAATGAAACACGGAGCCCAACTCAACGCAGTCACACGCGGTGCACCACACCCGCAGGAAAAAAGACTCGGGCTGCGCACTCCCTCTCCTCCCTTCTCCTCATGGCCACGGAAGAGAACAGCCGCCACACGCAACTGCCAGCATGCACTGCAAAAGGAGCATTCAAACCCACTGCAATGTGCATCTTGTGTGTGTGTGGTTGTTGTGTGCCTGCAGAAACACAAAGCAATGAAGTAGAAAAGAGGGAGCAGAGTATGTGGAGGGACGCACAACAATGTACAGCAGAGACGCATAACGGAAACAACAAGAAGAAGACCGCTCAAACTCATGACTGCACTGCAGCCCAAGCAGTGGCAATTCACACAAGATTTATTTAAAACAAAAAAAACTTTCCCCTTCGTCTTATATAAACCCCATCGCACAAAATAATTATAAATGAAAAAAGAAATCGCCCATTATTGTTCCACACAAAATAAGAAAAAAGCAGCCGGCTGCCTTATAGCCCTACCAAACTGTCTGCATATTTTGCCCGCAAAAGAAAATTAAATAGTTGCATGTCTTTCAACCGTCTGACCCTCCATGTGTCCGCACATCGTTTATATTTCATGGGGTCATCTGCGTGTTGCTGCTCCCCTCAGCCCTTTCATCGGCGTGCGAGTGCGGCCCGCAGAGCACAGTCACTCGTGTGTGCGGGGACTGAGAGAAGCACGCAGACATGACGGGAGTCGCGTCACTCCATCGGGAGAGTGAGCGCAGCAAAAGAAAAAAAAAATCATCAGGTGGGAGAGAAATGCTCAAGAGAGTGCCGGCGCGTGAAATGCACACGCAAAGCAAAAAATCTTAAAATCACGGCGGCAGGGTGTGGCTGTGTGTGTGTGGCGCTGCGGGTGTCTGCCCGCCCGGGCCGCAAAGAAAACAAAACAAGAGGGAAAGAAATGTGTGCTCCGCCCCACAGGCCCTCGTCGCACGCCCACACGTCACGGCTCCCTCAGCGCGCCGTTCGTCGCGGCCCCTCCTCATGCGTGCAGCAGGCGAGGCGCACAGGGCCGTCGTCATGAGCGTGTCGGTGGTGTGCGAGTGAAGCAGTTGGGCGGAAACACACGGCACCCCTCACAGGAAGAGTGCAGAAGAAACAATTAAAGAGGGAAGAGTAGAAAAGGAAAAACGTCCATAGCGATTGCCCCAAAAGCATAAAAAGTGTTGGGGGTATGAGGGATTAGAAATAAAAACAAAAAAGAATTTTTAAAAAGAAAAGACGCCCAATCGCACAACAAAGAAAAAAGAAAAAAAGACAAATAAATTAAAATCGCACAGCAAAGCAAACAAGGAGAAAAGTTAATAAAAGTTATTTAACAAGAGAAGTTCATTACCAGGTGTGTGTGTGTCGCTGCTGGGGATGCCGCAAGTGTCCCACGCGGCAGTCAGTCACTCCTCACAGAGCCGCAAACACCCACAGTCCCAACAGAAGAAGCAGCGATGGCAGCAGTCCGCTTCCGCAATAATTGCTGGCATCACCGTGTGCTCCACCATCAAGAGCGGTACCTTCATCCGTTTCTCCAGCTTCCGCTGTTTGTGGAATGGAAAGTTTGATTGTGTTAAGCGCAGTAAGCTCATTGTCACTCAACGGTCGGTTGTACAGCAGGACGTTCGTCACCGTCACGGGCACGTCTTGTCGGCTCCACGCGCTGCCTCCATCCCCTCCAATGTAGAAGTGGGAGATCCCTTTCGAACCTTTATCCTTCATATCAAATGGCGCACCTTCCACACGCCTACCATCGACGTACACAAAGCCCTGGATGCCGTTCTGCAGCACAATGGCCACTTGGTGTGTTTTCCCTGGTTTCCAATTGCTGCTGAGCTCCGACGCCTTCCCGCCACTGGACAAAAGTTCCAACTTCTTTTCTCTGTTGTTGTACGACAGCCCCAGAAGTACAGTACTCTTAACACCATTCATCCTCTTCACACCCATCAAAGGAATGGGAGTATCTCCCTCCGGCACACCGTCGATGGACACCGTCGCCACAAGAGTGAATTTGTAGTTCGCAAAGTGGTACAGCTGATTCTCCCCCTGCGCGCCAACGGGCCACTCCGCCCACGCTCCCTGGAAGGTCACACCATCGGAAGTCTTTGTTGCCTCTGCTGCACCACCCTTTACTGTGGCGTCCACCCCAAGGTACTCGTCCCTCCATTTGTTATCAGAGAAGTTGCCAGACAAAAAGCCAACCAGCCCAGCCGTGATCTTACCAGCGCTGCAGTCAGTGTCAGCTGAGGGATCCTTCAGAGCAAGTGAAGTGGGGCACACCTGGGAGACACGTTCGTCCACTTTCTTCCATGTCGTCAGCACCTCCTTCACCCGCTTCAGCTGCTCAGCCAGACGCACAGAGACCATACCGAGTGGTGGCTTCTCCGCATCGCCCTTCTTTTCGTACAGTGCAATCAACTCATTATTATCTCCACTTCTGTACAACAGGGAGCTGGCGGCAACCTCATCGTCTCCTTCCACGGATACCGGCCCAATATCAACAATGTGCGTATTGTCCGTCAGCCAAAGATGGAGTCTGCCCTTTACATTTACTTCTTTATCAGCCTTATTGGCATACACCGGCAGAGTGACGAGCATCACATCCCTGTCCTCAATCTTCGCTGTGATGAACCCGCTCCTAACGGCCTTCTCACTTCCGACCTTTTTGCTGCTCCACACGCGCGAGAGTGTCCCGAGTGCCTCCGTCCACGAATCCCCCTTGTCAACGGACTCGTACACCCTGCGGCGGCCATCACCACACGCAGTCATCATCATGAGTTTTTTGTCCTTCCACTCCACGACGGAGGGAATCCTGCAGCCACCGTCAGACATCCCCTTCGACAGCTTCCCACCCACAGCATCCTTCGAGTATAGGATCAGCGAAACAGTCTTTCCATCCTTCTTCGTGCCTTCCACTGGGAACACAAGCGTACCGTCGTTCATCTTGACACCCGATCCACCGCTGCCAATCAGCTGCTTCAAGGAGTTGTGTTGGTCGCCTAGAGTGCACGGTAGACCGTCAGTCTCCTTCCAATGGATTCGGTTGTTGCCGGTTCCACCAACGACCTGACCCTTCACCAGCAATAGTCCGGATTTGACTGCGTCAGACGCAGCCTTACATTCAGCGAGATTTTCATGGCTGTGTTTTCCAACAAGCATGTAAATATCATTTTCCTTCACAACGGCTGTTGGTCGGCTCACATCTACTCTGTTCTCCTCCT